CAGCCCAAGCTTTCAACCACAGGGGAAAATTTTCCAGACCCAAATAGAAATCTTAAAGAGGCTGAGAGGGTCCAGGGCTGCAAGGCAGCTCCCAGCTGGCCTTCCCAAGGGGACCCTAGCTTCGTGGGGGCCTGAGCTTCCTGGGGAGACCCCTCAGCTCCCTCTATTCCTTCCTGTCTTTTTTTCTTTTTGAGACAGCATCTCGCTCTGTCGCCAGCCTGGGATGCAGTGGCGCGATCTCGGCTCACTGCAGCCTCCGTCTCCCGGGTTCAAGCGATTCTCCTGCCTCAGCCTCCCGAGGAGCTGGGATTACAGGCGCTCGCCACGACGCTCGGCTAATTTTTGTGTTTTTAGTAGAGACGGGGTTTCTCCATGTTGGCCAGGCTGGTCTCGATCTCTTGACCTCATGATCCACCCACCTCGGCCTCCCAAAGTGCTGGGATTACGCGCGTGAGCCACCCCGCCCGGCAGCCTTTTTTATTTAGCTGTGACAAAACACACCATTTCTCCAACTCCACCTGGGCCGTCCAGGTGGCTTATGCCACAGTTTCCTTCTTACAGGCCCTCCCGGGAGGGATGAGCTTCCAGGCGTTTCTCAAAGCCCCCATGAGGGTGTCGTCGCCGGAGGGAGAGGGTAGGAAGGCCTCCCAGTCCAGGAAAAGAACTCGTGATGCAGTGGGGGAGGTGGACAAGCCCGTGTCCTTTACCCATTTAAATCCAACCCAGCACAGCGGCCCTGCGGACCTGGCTCTGGCTGACCTGCTCCGACCATCCCCGGCCCCTCCCGGACTGGGTTGAGAGCTTGGCCCTGCGTCTTCCCTGCTGTGTGACTCCAGGCAGACTCCGCTACTTCTCTGGGCTTCATTTCCTCCTCTGTGAGGTGCCACCCACCTCGCAGGGTGCAGTGGGGAAGACTCAATGAACTCAGACAAGAAAAGCTCTGGAACAGTACCCGGCATACAGCAAGCACCCCATAAATGCATGGGGATTTTTTTTTAAAGCCAGTCAAATTTAGCAGTGGGGGCTTGTATACCAACTTTAGCGATACTAATGTTAGTAAGTTCTGATAACCCAGTAGCAGCCCATGCCCATGGATCTTATGACCCCCAGGGAGCCTGGCACTGTGCTCTACCGGAGAAGAGGGTGCCAAGTTGGGGATGTTTGGCCTCCACCAGCTTTCCTCTAGTGCACTTGACCAGGCGCGGTGGCTCACGCCTGTAATCCCAGCACTTTGGGAGGCCGGGGCGGGTGGATCACCTGAGGTCAGGAGATCGAGACCAGCCTGGCCAACATGGTGAAACCCCGTCTCTACTAAAAATACAAAAAATTAGCTGGGCATGGTGGCGCGTGCCTGTAATCCCAGCTACTCGGGAGGCTGAGGCAGGAGAATTGCCTGAACCCAGGAGGCGGAGGTTGCGGTGAGCCGAGATCGCGCCATTGCACTCCAGCCTGGGTAACAAGGGTGAAACTCCGTCTCAAAAAAAAAAAAGTGCATTTGTTGCTAACATTAAAAAAAAAAAATCAGGGCTGGGCAAAGTGGCTCACGCCTGTAATCCCAGCACTTTGGGAGGCCGAGCGGGTGGATCACCTGAGATCGGGAGTTCAAGACCAGCCTGGCCAACATGGCGAAAGCCTGTCTCTACTAAAAATACAAAAATTAGGAGAGTGGTGGCGCGTGCCTGTAATCCCAGCTACTTGGGAGGCCGAGACAGGAGATCACTTGACCCAGGAGGCGGAGGTTGGAGTGAGCCGAGATTGTCCCTCTGCACTCCCGCCTGGGCGACAGCGTGAGACTTGATCCGGCCACCCAGGGGCTGTTATGCCTTGAACATCCAGTGTGTGCCTGATATGGCAGGGCTTTCTGGATAGCAGAAAGCCCAGGCCCAGCAGATGGAGACTCCAAAGCTCAGAGAGGGCGTCTGGCTTACTGGAGGTCACACAGCACTGCGAAGGCCATCTGATCTCTTCCCTGTGGAATCAGGTCAGCCCCAGGGCCCACCAGGCAGTCTCAAACCCTATGCTTCCAGGGACCCAAATAGAAGTTTCTGGGGCCTTCCTGGAAAGCTGGTTCCAGTGCTTTTGACTGTCGGGGTCTCAGTGTGCCCATCTTGAGAATGGGCACGACAGCCGGACCTCACGAGGAAGCACATATGGTCTTTAGCACACAGGGAGTACCCCGAAAGTTTGGATAGTTTCAAAATCGAGATTCCCCTTTCTACTTGGAGGAAGTCCAGGGTCCCTCCAGGATGGGCAAACTGCAGTCAGGAGAGGGCCCCCAGGCTGAAACGTGGGCCTCAGCGTGGCCTGACTTCCTCCAGACTCCCAGGTCTGCTGCGCCCCTCCAGAGCAGGGCACGTGGGAATCTGCATCCTTACACCAGGAGAGAGACCTGGTGCCCACCTCAGCCTTGCCCCTTCCTCAGTGCTGTGGATACTAACCCTGAGGAAATCCCTGACCTCTCTGGGCTTAAGCTTCTTTCTTTTGTTTTCTTTTTTTTTTTTTCTGAGACGGATTCTCACTCTTGTTACCCAGGCTGGAGTGCAATGGCGCGATCTCGGCTCACCGCAACCTCCGCCTCCTGGGTTCAATCAATTCTCCTGCCTCAGCCTCCCGAGTAGCTGGGATTACAGGCACGCACCACTGTGCCCAGCTAATTTTGTATTTTTAGTAGAGACGGGGTTTCACCTTGTTGACCAGGATGGGCTCGATCTCTTGACCTCGTGATCCACCCGCCTCGGCCTCCCAAAGTGCTGGGATTATAAGGGTGAGCCACCGCCCGGCCTGGGCTTACATTTCTTTAAGAGGACTCAATAGTTCCCTCGCCTTAGACCAGCTACATGGCAAACTCTTCAGAAAGGTCAGATTTCTGAAAGGAGAAGCACCTTGGAGAACGTGATGGGCGCTGGGAACCCTTTCTCCAAAACTGGCCAAAGACAGACATAACCAGGTTACAAAATGTGTTTTGGGGTTGGGGGGATGGTGAGTCCAGGCTCTAAGCTGGTTGGCGCAAGGTCTTTTATCCAGCGGGGGGGTGGGGGGGGGCTTGGGGGAGACTGGGGAGGAGGGAGGGACTCTGAAGTCACACAGGTGGGTCTTTGGGCAAATTATTTAACTTTTTTGTGCCTCGGTTTCCTCCTCTACAAACTGGGGCTGTTTAAAGAAAGGAATTCAGTATTTGTCAAGCGATTCGGTCGGAGCCTAGCACACGTTATTTTCCCAATCTGCCGTCCGTGCAGAACAAGGGGGCTCACCCTCTCGGGCGCAGGGACCCCGACCCGCCCCTCACCTGTGGTACTGAGCTTGCAGGAGCTGAAACTCGTCTTTGATGCGGTCGCAGGAGTCCGAGGTGGTGAATTTGAGTTGCTGGGGTAGGTGCGAGGAGCCCTGTGGGGAGGGGGGCGCCCCGGTCAGGCCCAGGCGTGGGCCAGGCCCCCCTCAAGGGCGGGCCAGGAGGGAGCGGCCGCGCAGCTGCGGCGCCCCCCCTCCTGCCCCACTTCCTGGGCCCGTGTTTACCGCCCCTGGCAAGGCCCCCACCCGCGCTTCCTGCCCCCGCCTCTCCCCGGGGGAAGCTGAGGGGGTGGGTGCGCCCGGAGCCGCCCCGTCCCCCGCCACCCCCAGGCAGTGGGGGGTGCGTTTTAAGGCCCGCCCTAGGTGGGGGGCAGGGTACGCCCTCTACCGCCCCTCCAAAGCGCCGGGAGTGGGTGCCTCCGAGGGGGGTGGAAACGCGCCCTAGGGAGCCCCCTCCCCAAGTTGAGGGGCAGCGAGTCCCCCCTGCAAAGTCCCCTTGGGGAAGGGGGTCTCTCTCGGCGCCCTAAATCTTCCGGGGGGGAGCCCACCCCAGAATCCCAGCGCCCTTCCTCGGGGACGCGCTCTCTTCCGGGAGGGGGGGCGCCTCGGATTGTCCCCCCCACCACAGGCCCCCAAAGGAGCCCCGCGCTGGAGGTGCCTGGCGGGGCTCCCGGAGATCCCCAGGCCCGAGGCCAAGGCCGTCCGAGGCCCTGCCTGTCCCGGCGGGCGGGGGGGGGGGGCGCCAAGCCGGGAGCTGGGGGGGGGGGTCGGGGCCCGGAAGCTGGGGGAGAATCGGGAACTGAGGGGGTGTCCGGGGGTCGGCGGCAGGACGGGGGTCGCGCGGGGCTCGGAGCCCGAGAGGGAAGACAGGGCCCGGGAGCTGGGGGGGCGCGGGGCGGGGGCGCGGGGAGGGGGCGCCGGGCGGGCGGGCCCCGCTTACCGAATGCCTGCTTTGTGGAAACATCATGTCAGTCGCGGCGGGGGGCGCGGGCTGCGCCCCGGCTGTGCGCCCCGGCTCGGGCTGCTCGGGGCGCCGGGCGGCCGCGCCTTTGTCCCGGCGCGGATCGGCAGCTCCCGGGGCCGCCGCCGCCGCCTCCCGCGCCCGGCCTCGCCCGCTTCCTGCGCCCCCTCCCCGCGCGCCCGGCCCCGGCGCGCCCCGGGCCCCGCTTCCTGCGCGCCCGGCGCCCCTCCCCGCCCCTCCCCGCCGCCCGCCTCCCCGCTCCCCGGCCCCACCGCTATTGTCTAATGGCGGCGACGCCGGCGGTGGCCGCGGCTCGGCTGCTGCGGAGGCTCCGGCTCCACCTGCCGCCGCCGCCCGTGCCCCGTGCGCGCCGCCGAGGGGGGGGACGCGCGCGCCCGGGGAGGCCTGCGGATCCCCACCCCGGCCCGCCTCCCCGGGGCCCGCCCGCCGCGGTGACCTTGGGCCCGGCGCGCCCCCGCCCCGGGCCGCGGCCCCCGCCACCCGCCCCAGCCTGGCGGCCGGCCTGGCCTCGGTTTCCCCATCTGTCAGAGAAAGGGACCCGGCTGCCCAGGTCGAAGCCGCCGGCCCTGCGGTGGCACGACCTGGACGCGTGCCAGGGACGTATTCTGTGACCTTGGCTCTGGCTGGGCGGTGGTTCTCGCCGGGCCTCAGTTTCCTCTTCTGCAGAAAGGCAGCGGTCATGCCGCCTTCCTCAGGGAAGCCATTCTTTGGACACCTTTATGGAGGGCCTGTGTGCCAGGCCCGGCTGCTCCAGGGCCCTGGGGTGGGTGGGGGGGGTACAAGGCCCCTGCCCTGGTGAGGTGCCTGGAGACAGACAGAAATTCAGGAGCTGAATTCCCAGCAGGTCAGATGGTGGGGACGCCTCTGCGGGGAAAATCGGCTGGGACAATGGCGGGGTAGGAAGGTGCAAGGTTGAACAGAGGGCAGGGAGGGTCAGAGAGGGCTTCCTCCTCCACAAACGGACCCCAAGGAGCGAGAACAGGGGATGGGGGCAGTGCCAGTCAGAGGCAGGACGAGCAGGTGCAAAGGCCCTGGGGCAGGACTGTGCCTGGCACCAGGATGCCCGGGATGGAGGCAGGGCCTGGGCCTGGGGCTTCATGCTGTTGCCCAGGCCCCCTGCCCCCAGCAGGGCTTCTGCCTGGGTGAATCTTTACTGCTGCGTTTTGAAATTCCGAATCATTTTCGAACAAGGGGCCTTTCAGTTTTCTTTTGTACTGTGCCCTGCAACTCTGTAGCTGGTGACACAGGCCAGTTCCAAAAGGGCTTGTGGGCCTCGGGGAGTACAGGGCTCTTGCTCTGAGTGAGGTGGGAGCCCTGGAGGGCTGTGGAAGGAAGAGGGACAGGACCTGGTGGTTTTTTTTGTTTGTTTGTTTGTTTTTTTTTGAGATGGAGTCTTGCTCTGTCACTCAGGCTGGAGTGCAGTGGCACGATCTTGGCTCACTGCAGCCTCTGCCTCCTGGGTTCAAGCGATTCTCCTGCCTCAGCCTCCTGGGTAGCTGGGACTACAGGCACCCACCACCACGCCCACCTAATTTTTATATTTTTAGTAGAGATGGGGTTTCACATGTTGGCCACGGTGGTCTCGAACTCCTGACGTCAGGTGATCCTCCCGCCTCCTCCTCCTCCCAGAGAGCTGGGATTACAGGTGCTTTTGCTCTGAGTGAGGTGGGAATCCCTGGAGGGCCGTGGGAAGAGGAGGGAGCAGACCTGGTGGCAGTTATGAAAGGATCCCTCTCTCTGCCATGCGGAGAACAGGTCCCAAAGAGGTGCTGAAATAAGGCTGTGACTTCAGGGTCTTCCTCTGGCAGGTGCTAAGTACAGTCTCTTCATCGTCATCACCCACTAGGCACCCTGCCCCCTCGGATGAATGGTTGGCCTCGACTGTGCTCAGCTGTAAAATGGATCTGGAACCCAAGGCTCCTTACCTTGGCAGATAAAGGTGAGAGCCGTCCGTGATCAAGATTAATTATCTTGGCCGGGCGCGGTGGCTCACACCTGTAATCCAGACACTTTGGAGGCCAAGGCGGGCGGATCACCTGAGGTTGGGAGTTCAAGACCAGCCTGACCAACATGCTGAAACCCCATCTTAAAAAAAATAATAAAAATAAAAATAAATAAAGGAGGAAGGAACAAAGATTAGGATTTTGGACTTACTTTTTTTTGAGACGGACTCTCATTCTGTGTTCAGGCTGGAGTGCAGTGGCGTGATCTCAGCTCACTGCAACCACTGCCTCCGGGGGTCAAGTGATACCCCTGCCGCAGCCTCCCAAGCAGCTGGGACCACAGGCGTGCGCCAGCACACCCAGCTAATTTTTGTATTTTTATTAGAGACAGGGTTTCACCATGTTGGCTGGGATGGTCTCGATCTCCGATCTGCCCTCCTTAGTCTCCCAGACTGTTGGGGTTACAGGTGTGAGCCGCCGCACCCGCCGTGGGTTTTTAAGATGAATACTTACTACTTGTTAAGAGTCAGGCCTTCAGCCAACCACAAAGCCCATGTTTTTGCTGCCACCAGCAAAACCCTGCTGCCCCGCCCCCACCGCCGTGGGGACCAGACGCCCTCTCTCCTGGGAGGCCACCTGCCAGGGTTTATGTACGCAGGTGCCTTCCAGTATCAGTGCGCCGGGGACCAAACACTCCCATTTTCTTTTCTTTTTTTTTTTTGAGACGGAGTTTCGCTCTTGTTACCCAGGCTGGAGGGCAATGGCGCGATCTCGGCTCACCGCAACCTCCGCCTCCTGGGTTCAGGCAATTCTCCTGCCTCAGCCTCCCGAGTAGCTGGGATTACAGGCGGGCACCACTGTGCCCAGATAATTTTTGTATTTTTAGTAGAGACGGGGTTTCACCATGTTGACCAGGATGGTCTCGATCTCTTGACCTCGTGATCCACCCGCCTCGGCCTCCCAAAGTGCTGGGATTACAGGCGTGAGACACCGCGCCCGGCAAACACTCCCATTTTCGAAGCCCCTACACTTTCGGGGGAAGCGGAGCTGGACACAGATACCTTCAGCGGTGAGGTCAGGGTGGGGCCACCCAGAGGGACCTGGGCCTGTGAAGGAGAGAGTCATTGTGAAAGAATCATTTTTCCAAAACAGTTTTTTTTGATTTGTTTTTGTTTGTTTTCCTTCCGAGAGGGAGGCCCAGAATTGTGGGCCTCACTATAAATAATCAGCCAACCGACCCAGGCCTGTGTGTTTTTTCTACACCCCAAGGGTCTTACGCACTTTAACCTTTAGGGACTGTGCTCACGCCCGTTTTAGACACGAGGAAACCGGCCAGCGCGGTGGCTCACGCCTGTAATCCCAGCACTTTAGGAGGCTGAGGCAGGTGGATCACTTGAGGTCAGGGGTTCAAGACCAGCCTGGCCAACATGGCAAAATCCTGTCTCTACAAAAAATATGAAAATGAGCCAGACGTGGTGGCGCGTGCCTGTAATCCCAGCTACTCGGGAGGCTGAGGCAGGAGAATTGCCTGAACCCAGGAGGCGGAGGTTGCGGAGAGCCGAGATCGCGCCATTGCACTCCAGCCTGGGTAACAAGAGCGAAACTCCGTCTCAAGAAAAAGATAAATAAAATAAACATGAAACAAAAAAGAGACGGGGAAAGGTTCTCCCCAGTCGGGTCACAGAGAGCTGAAGTGGCTTGGCGGAAATCACACTAGATGTAATCCCAGGCCGTTGACCTTGACCCTGGGCCTTTGACCACTACTCAGTGTGGCTTTTGGCAGGGACACGATGGCAGCACGTGCTGCTGGATTGGGGAGCTGGGATTTTACCTGGAGGGCACTGGGGAGCCATGGGAGGGTTTAGAGCAAGATGTTTCTTTCTTTCTTTCTTTTTTTAAAGACGGGGTTTCACCATGTTGGTCAGGCTCGTCTTGAACTCCCGACCTCAGGTGATCCGCCCACCTTGGCCTCCAAAATGCTTGGATTACAGGCCTGAGCCGCCGCGCCCAGCTTATTTACTTATTTATTTTTACTTCCTGCAGGAGGGGTGCCACTCGCCGGCAGCGTTGCCACGAGAGCACCAGCATTTTTCAGTTAGCGCCACTGCACTCCACCTTGGGTGACAGAGATGCCATCTCAAAAAAAAGATTGTCCAAAATAGTGTTTATCCTGATGACTTAGGTATTTGGCACCCCCTTAACTTTTTATTTTTTATTAGGTGCGGTGGTGTGGCTTCTGCTCACCCAAGCCTCGACCTCCTGGGCTCAAGCAGTCCGCCCGCCTCAGCTTCCCGAGTATCTGGGACGACAGGCGTGTGGGACACACACGCTTGGCTAATTTTTGTTTGTTTTTTGTAGAAATGGGGTCTCGCCATGTTACCCAGGCTGGTCTTGAACTTCTGGATGCAAGCGACCTTCCCGCCTTAGCCTCCCAAAGTGCTGGGATTACAGGTGTGAGTCACCGTGCCCTGTCTGTCTTCAGTTTTACGCCTGAAGAAAGGAACTCACTCCCGAGTACACCCTCCCTGGTCCACCTCTGCCTGAATCAAATAGGAAAATCTGGTTTTGCCGAACGTGGTGGCGCGTGCCTGTGGTCCCGGCTACTCGGGAGGCTGAGGTGGGAGGATCGCTTGAGCCCAGGAGTTCTGGGCTGTGGTGCGGTATGCTGATCGGGTGTCTGCACCAAATTCACCATCAGTATAGTGACCTCCCGGGAGCGGGGACCACCAGGTTGCCTAAGGAGGGGTGAACCGGCCCAGGTCGGAAACGGAGCAGGTCAAAACTCTCGTGCTGATCATTAGTGGGATCGCGCCTGTGAATAGCCACTGCACTCCAGCCTGGACAACATAGCGAGACCCCATCTCTTTAAAAAAAAAAAAAAGAAAGGAAAATCTGGTTTTTGGACATTCTGGCCCAGTTAATTCATTCTCTGGGGGAGGCAGGGGGTATCCTGGGCACTGCAGGGTGCTGAGCCGTGTCCCTGGCCTCTCATCACTCCATGCCAGGAGCACCCGTGAGGTGTTCCCCCCACAGATGCCCCCAGACATTGCCCAGTGTCCCATGGTCGGGGGCACAATGACACCAGAATGAGAACCCCTGGCTTAAAGCATGGAAGAGACAGGGCAGCTCCTCTGTGGTAGAGTGATGGGAGGAAGATCAGGTGAGAGACGGGCAGCCTGGGCTGGACCCACTGCAAAGACCTGCTTTGGGGGTGTAGCAAGAACAGAACGCAGCAGGCGGCGTGGGTGAGGAAGGGCAGACAGCTCGACGCAGGAAGGAACGTGTAATTAATTGGGGAGAACGGGGGTTTCGGCGCGTCACACTGGATGGCTGCCACTGCCCCCCCTCCATCCCTGACTCCACGTGTCCACCTCATGGTGCTTCCTCTCCCTGGGATTCTCAGGGCCACATCTGGGGCCAAGGCGGGGTGGGGGATCTGTCTCAGGGATACAACTCTCTGAGACCAGCCTCAAGACCCGGTTACAAATGAGCGCTGGGCCCGTCGGCCTCCAGGGCAGAGCCCGGCGCTGGTACGTGATGGATGGGGCTGCATGGCCATTAATCACAGGCCAGGGAGGAAACAGGTGGCCGCCGTGCAGGCAAGGGGACCTCCCTCCGGTAGGCCCAGGCGGAGGTGGGGCTCAGCTGCCCAGCCCTGGAGTTGAGCCGCTGCATTGCCGCTACCTGGCCGGGTGACGTGGGGCCTTTCGAGCCGACTGCTCCAGGCCTTAGTTTGCCCCCAAGCCCCCTCCCAAATGCAGTTAGCAAATACTTAGCACTTACTGTGTGTCATGGTTGTGAGCGGAGGTTCGGAGCAGTGACGAAGGAGGAGAGGAATCCCCCTCTCCTTTTTGGAGCTCATAAACCTAAAACTTTTATTTATTTATCTTGAGACGGAGTTTCGCTCTTGTTGCCCAGGCTGGAGTGCAATGGTGCGATCTCGGCTCCCTGCGACCTCCGCCTCCAGGGTTGAAGCAATGCTCCTACCTCAGCCTCCCGAGTAGCTGGGATTACAGGCACGTGCCACCATGCCCAGCTAACTTTTGTATTTTTAGTAGAGACGGGGTTTCGCCATGTTGGCCAGGCTGGTCTCCAACTGGCTGGTCTCCACTCCCGACCTCATGATCTGCCCGCCTCGACCTTCCAGATGCTGGGATTACAGGCGCGAGCCACTGCGCCCGACCGATTTATTTATTATTTATTTCAGAGATGGAGTTTCGCTCTTGTCGCCCAGGCTGGAGTGCAACAGTGCGACCTTGGCTCATCGCAACCTCTGCCTTCCAAGTTCAAGCCATTCTCCTGCCTCAGCCTCCCGAGCAGCTGGGACTACAGATGTCGGTCGCTACACCTGGACAAACTGTTGTATTTTTAGTAGAGATGGGTTTTCACCATGTTGCCCAGGCTGGTCTCGAACTCCTGACCTCAGGCGATCCACCCACCTCGGCCTCCCAAAGTGCTGGGATCACAGGTCGGGCCCTCGCACCTGATCCCCGTCTTGATTTAAATGCCACTCTGTCAATGAAACTGCCTTTGACTCTCCTATTTGAGGCAGGGCTATGACCAGGGTGAGCATACTTGTGAGTGAGGTCCATTCTTCAGCCATAAAACTTAAAAGAAACGGGGAGGGGGGAGAGGCGGGGGGGGAAAAGGGGGGGGAAAAGAGGTGGGGGGGAAAGGCGGGGGGGAAAAGAGGCGTGGGGGGAAAAAAAGAGGCGTGGGGGAAAAAGAGGTGGGGGGGGAAAAAGAGGCGGGGGGTAAAAGAGGCGGGGGAAGGTGGCTCCTGCCTCTAATCTCAGCGCTTGGGAGGCCAAGGAGGGCAGACTGCTTGACCCCAGGAGTTCAAGGCCAGCCTGGGTGACACGGTGAAGCCCCATCTCTACAAAGAGCAAACAGAATACAGCCGGGAGTGGTGGCACCTGCCTGTCATCCCAGCAAATCAGGAGGCTGAGGTGGGAGGATTGCAAAAGAATAAAAAATACCCGGCCTATTTTTTATTCTTTTGAGACGGAGTCTGGCTCTGTCGCTGGAGTGCAGTGGCGCCGTTTCCACTCCCTGCAGCCTCTGTGATCTGCGCGCCTTCCCCTCCCAAAGTCCTGGGATTACAGGCGTGAGCCACGGCGCCTGGCCAACAATATTTTAACAAATCGAAATTAAGGGAAAAAGTCCACAATGAGGCCGGGCGCGGTGGCTCACGCCTGTAATCCCAGCACTTTGGGAGGCCGAGGCGGGTGGATCACGAGGTCAAGAGATCGAGACAGTCCTGGTCAACATGGTGAAACCCCGTCTCTACTAAAAATACAAAAAATTAGCTGGGCATGGTGGCACGTGCCTGTAATCCCAGCTACTCGGGAGGCTGAGGCAGGAGAATTGCCTGAACCCAGGAGGCGGAGGTTGCGGTGAGCCGAGATCGCACCATTGCACTCCAGCCCGGGTAACAAGAGCGAAACTCCGTCTCAAAAAAAAAAAAAAAAATTGGCCAGGTACAATGGCTTACACCTGTCATCCCGACCCATTTTGCCCAGAGGAGAAAAAAGAAAAAAGGTTTTATGGTCTCAATAGATGCTCTGATTGGCCAGGTTTTGATGATATGATTTTCCAAATTCACTAAACGAGGAAATGAGTGATGATTATTATTACATTATTATTTTTTAGTCCTCCCAGCTTCGTTTGTTTACAAAATGCCTTGTATTTCCAGGCCTGGCAGGAGAAAGACGGAATAAGACTGGATAAATTACAAGCTGAGCACGTATTATAAACCGGGTTGGGCCGGGCGCGGTGGCTCAGGCCTGTAATCCCAGCACTTTGGGAGGCCGAGATGGGCAGATCGCTTGAGGTCAGGAGTTCAAGGCCAGCCTGGCCATAATGGTGAAACCCCATCTTTTAAAAAAAAAAAAAAAAGTTAAAAAAAAAAATTCCCACCAACTATAGGGTTACCAGCCTGGCTGCCGTCCCCATCAACTTGCTCAGTGCAGCAATCTCTCATCTCAGGTAGGATGTTTTGGGTGCACATGACAACAGCAATAACAACAACAAAAAAAAACCCGGAATGGCTTAAGTGCATGGAACTGAACATTTACAACATTAGGTCTGACTTCAGGCATGGCTGGATCCAGGTGCTCCAATGGTATCCGGATCTTGTGTCACTGTGCATAGCTGGAATACTTGTCTCCCGTGGCAGCAAACAAACACAGTTTCCCAACAGCTGTAGCCTGGCATCCTCCCAGCTCGGCAACTCCAGCCAATTCCTTCCTCTTTTTTTTTTTTTTTTTTTGAGATGGAGTTTCGCTCTTGTTACCCAGGCTGGAGTGCAATGGAGCGATCTCGGCTCACCGCCACCTCCGCCTCCTGGGTTCAGGCAATTCTCCTGCCTCAGCCTCCCGAGTAGCTGGGATTACAGGCACGCGCCACCATGCCCAGCTAATTTTTTGTATTTTTAGTAGAGACGGGGTTTCACCGTGTTGACCGGGATGGTCTCGATCTCTCGACCTCGTGATCCACCCGTCTCGGCCTCCCAAAGTGCTGGGATTACAGGCTTGAGCCACCGCGCCCGGCCAATTCCTGCCTCTTAATTGCAGCGTGTCTTAGGACTCATTCTCATTGGCCAGGCTTAGGTTACATGACGGCCCTGGTTTAATCCCTGTGGTCTGACTGGAATACCCTGATTGGCCAATCTTGAGTCACATGACTTTTCCACGTCACTGGCCTACAAGGAAGTGTTCTGATTGGCCAGGATGGAATCACATGACTTTGTTGAAGCCATTTTTTTTACTAAGGGCGTGGGGTCGGTCCCAGTGGCACACTTGAGGGTGAGTGTGAACACGGACGTGTTCGTCAGTGGGAGGCCACAGACATTTGTGGCACATTGGGGCGGGGGGGGCGTCGTCATTTTTTCTGCCTCCAGGTGCCCCTGGACGCTCGGGCAGCCGGCTGTCCAGGCAGGATTCTGCATGGGCATCCTCTGAACAGCTGTGGACGCGTCTCCCGGCCTCAGTTTCCCCTTCTGTGAAATAGGAGCAGAGTAGCCGGGACTACAGGTGCATACCACCACACCTGGCTAATTTTAAAATTCTCTGGGCCGGGCACGGTGGCTCACGCCTGTAATCCCAGCACCTTGGGAGGACGAGGTGGGTGGATCCCTTGAGGTCAGGAGTTCGAAACCAGCCTGTCCAACATGGCGAAACCCCCGTCTTTACTTAAAACACAAAATTAGCCGGGCATGGTGGTGCCTGCCTGTAATTCCAGCTACTTGGGAGGCTGAGGCAGGAGAATCGCTTCAACCTGGGAGGCGGAGGTTGAGGTGAGCCGAGATCGTGCCATTGCACTCCAGCCTGGGCAACAAGAGCAAAACTCCTCAAATAAAATTAAAAACATTTTATTTTATTTGTCTCAAATAAGATAAAATAAATAAAATTCTCTGTAAAGAAAGGGGTCTCCCTGTGTTACCCAGACTGATTTTGAAATCCTGGGCCCAATCGATCCACCCGCCTCGGCCTCCCAAATTGTTGGGATCACAGGTGTGAGCCACTGTACCTGGCTAAATTTTGTGGGGTTTTTTTGTTGTTTAGTTTTTTTGGGGGACACAGTCTTGCTCTGTTGCCCAGGCTGGAGTGCGGTGGCACCATCTCGGCTCATTGCAACGTCCACCTCCCAGGTTCGAGCGATTCTCCTGCCTCAGCCTCCCGAGTAGCTGGGATTACAGGCACGCGCCACCATGCCCAGCTAATTTTTGTATTTTTAGTAGAGACAGGTTTCACCACGTTGACCAGGATGGTCTCGATCTCTTGACCTCGTGATCCACCCGCCTCGGCCTCCCAAAGTGCTGGGATTACAGGTGTGAGCCACCACGCCCGGCCCCCCTTTTTTTTTTTTTTTTTTAATGGGATTTGCTCTGAGTTGTGTAGTCCTGGCTGGTGTGAAGACCCTTTGTCCCCTTCCCGTGGGTCAGTGCTACCGCGGTCATTACCGCCTGGCTGGGAGAGGAAATGTTCCCCCACAGAGTTGAGGGCTTTTTCTGCCCACAGCCCGCAGCACACCGTGGCCTTCCTGCCCGGGGTGAAAGTGCTGGGGGCGGGAGGGAAGCATTCCTGATGGGCAGCTCGTCACCCGGGCCTGGGCTAGGCCTCCTGAAGCAATGCTCGCATACGACAGGCGCTTCCTTGTTCTTTCTGGGTTTTTTTGTTTGTTTGAGATAAGAGTCTTGCCCGGTCGCCAGGCTGGAGTGCCGGAGTGCAATCTCGGCTCACCGCAACCTCTGCCTCCCGGGTTCAAGTGATTCTCTTGCCTCAACCTCCTGAGTAGCTGGGAGTACAGGCGCGCATCACACCCACCCAATTTTTTGTATTTTTAGTAGACACAGGGTTTCACCATGTTGACCCGGATGGTCTCAATCTCTTGACCTCGCGACCTGCCCTCCTTGGCCTCCCAAAGTGCTGGGATTACAGATGTGAGCCACCGCGCCCGGCCTGTTGTGGTTTTTAGAGACAGGGTCTTGTTATGTCGCCCAGGCTGGTCTCGAACTCCTGGACTCAAGCCGCCCAAAGTGTCGTGATTATAGGCATGAGCTACCACGCTGGGACAAATGTATTTTGTTCTTGTGCTTTTCACTGTCCCCAGTGTCCCCAGCCGCTGCCCTTCGGAGCCTGGCGTTGGCAGGACTGAGTCGCTATTGGGGAGTTTAAGGACCTTTAAAAGGTGTTCCCAGTGTTTCCCAGGGGCTGAGTGCTAATTAGGTGATTAGTAGGGTTGATTCAGCGGATATGTCTCCCGGGGTACCTGGGGACTGTGGGGACCGGGGAGGTATGGCTGCCCACCTGGCCTGCCCTCCAGAGGCCGCACTGCCTCCCCATAGACACCCAAGGGGCAAGTGCCAGCCTCAGCTTTGCGACGGCTGGGCTGTGTGTCTCTGGACAAGTGGCTGTCCCTCTCTGGTCCCGTCTACCTAGTGGGCTGCGGTCCTGCAGGACTCCGAGCCATTATTCTTGTTCACTGGTGCTCAGGTACCTCTAACCCCTCCTCCCGACAAAATGATCATCCCCTTTATCAGAAATGGCTGAGGTTTAGCAGACTCCCCCGAGCCCCAGCACCGGTCCAGGCCCTCAGAGTAGGCACAATTCTCACTGCTTTTTTTTTTGAGACGGAGTCTCTCTCTGTCGCCCAGGCTGGAGTGCAGTGGTGTGATCTTGGCTCACTGCAACCTCTGCCTCCAGGGTTCAAGCGATTCTCTTGCCCCAGCCTCCCTAGTAGCTGGGACTACAGGCGTGTGCCACCACACCTGGCTGATTTCTTTCTTTTTTTTTTTTGAAATGGAGTTTCGCTCTTGTTACCCAGGCTGGAGTACAATGGCACGATCTTGGCTCACTGAAACCTCCGCCTCCCAGGTTCAAGCAATTCTCCTGCCTCAGCCTCCTGAGCAGCTGGGACTACAGGCACGCGCCACCATGCCCGGCTAATTTTGTATTTTTAGTAGAGACGGGGTTTCTCCATATTGGCCACACTGGTCTCGAACCCCAGGCCTCAAGTGATCC